CACATTTAAAGCAGTCAAATTCTCGTCTAGGGCCATAGCATCTCATGTATCAGCACGGAGACTGCTATGACTCAGACATTGGCAGGCGGATACCAAGCATAAATGCAAGTTGGAATCAGCCCCAATATCGGGGGATAAATTATTTAGCAGTATTTTGGAGCCCCTCCTTATTGAGAATAGAAACAAGAAAAAAGTGCTTCCCCCTCTCTTTTGGAGGTCTGAAAACAACGCCCCAGTCGTTTTGAAGGGGTTCCTTTCGGCCCTACTATCAAGGCCCATACGTTCCCAGATCTCAGAGAATATCAGGCTACAGACCCAGTTTTAGACAGGATAGGTCTGAATCTTCCGATAGAGGTCAGTGGGGAGGCCAAAACAGAAGAAACCCCAGAGGCACCGAAGGCTGATTTTTTCATCGCCCCAAGTGAGTCCTTGACAGCAGTTCCCATTGGAGGGCGGCTAAAATTGTTTGCTGATCAATGGGACAGCTCCACCTCTGATGCGTGGGTCAAGGACACTATTAGGTTTGGTTTGGCGCTAGAGTTTCAATCCTCCCCCCTGAACTTTTTCATTAGGAGCCCTGGGTCCACGGACCCCATTAAGAGGGCGTTGATGCAGGAGGCTATCAATCATCTTCTACATATTCGGGGGGCTGGAGGGCAATTCTGGACCTCAAACGTCTGAACAGATCATTGGTTTATGGAAAATTCAAGATGACTACTCTCCAGTCCATTCTGCTGAGCATCAGAGAATGATGTCCTGAGCTCTCTAGATCTCACAGAGTCTTATCTACATATACCAATTAGACCTGCTCACTACAAATATCTTAGATTCTGCTATTGTGATCGGCACTACGAATATATCGCCCTACCATTCGGTCTGGCTTCGGCCCCTAGGACTTTTACCAAGGTCCTCACTGCCTTGGCTGCCTCCCTCAGGATCAAATGTATTCGCTTACAGTGTTATCTGGATGATATTTTAATTTTGTCATCTTCTAGATATCAAGAAAAATTGGATACCAAGATTACTCTGGAGATCCTTCAGGGTCATGGCTTTTCCATAAATTGGGATAAAAGCCATTTGATCCCCTCAACTAGGTTAGTTCATTTAGGGGCAGTGATAGATACTGTGGAGGGCAAGGTGTTTCTCTCTCAGGACAGGTTAAACAGTATCCAATCTTTGGCCAGAAATATCAGAGCCTTAAAGAGGGCTTCCCTGGCAGTGCTGTCTCAACTGTTAAGAAACTGATTTCTTGTATTTCCATTGTGCCTTGGGCTCGATTCCATTCTAGAGAGCTGCAATGGTTCCTGCTACCTTTCCAGCGATCCGGAAGAGCCACTTCCAACGTCCGGATAAAGGTACTGCACAATGTTCTCCGATCACTCCGCTGGTGGTCGGAAAAATCAATAAACAAGGGGTGTCCTTTCAAGGAACCTTACAGGGCAACGATCACAACCGATGCCAGCCTGGTAGGATGGGGAGTTCACTTCCAATCCCACATTGCGCAAGGAATTTGGACTATTTCCGAACAATCACAAAGCATCAACCTGTTGGAGCTGTGAGCAGTTCACCTGGCCTTACACAGCTTCTACCCCTTTTCCAATCATGCCACGTTCTGGTCGTGACAGACAATATCACAACCAAGGCCCACGTAAACAGACAGGGGGGTACCCATTCCAAACTTCTGATGCTGGAGACGGCCAATTTGTTCAAGTGGGCCAAGGCCAATCTTTTTTCCCTCAAGGCAGAACACATAGCAGGGGCCTTAAACACACAAGCAGACTGGCTCAGCAGGGCCATGATAGATCAGGCAGAGTGGCGCCTACACCCATCTGTCTTCCAGGAAGCAGTGCGGAGGTTTGGGCAACTGGTGATCGATCTGTTTGCCTCTCCTCTCAACACCCAATTGCCCCAGTATATTTCAAGGTACCCGACTCAGGGGGCGGAGGCCGTCAATGCCCTGCGTTGTCAGTGGCCTCCTGGACTTCTATATGTATTTCCTCCACTCCCGGTAATACCCAGGTTGATCCAGACATTGGAGGAACGAGTGGAATTGATATTGGTCTCCCCTTACTGGTCCAGGCGAACGTGGCTCGCAGACTTACAGGACCTGTCAAGAGAACAACCTTGGAAAATTCCACCGTCGAAGGTTTCCCTCTCCCAAGGGCCGATACTTTACCTGAACCCACAATGGCTCAGTCTAGCCATATGGAGGTTGAGCGGAGCCGTTTAAGGGCCCAACAGATTTCAGAGGATGCTATTGCCACCATTCAATCATCCAGATGGTCCTCAACAAATCGTATATATGAGGACATGTGGTCCGCTTTCTGTCGCTGGTGCCAGGGGTCTAAGATTGACCCAACTGCCCCATCAAAAGGACAATTATTGGACTTTTTACAGGAGGGGTTGACCAAGGGCCTATCTCCAAATACTTTACGCAGACAGGTGGAGGCTTTAGCCTCGGTGATAGCCTGAGGTGACCTCCGTTCCATAGCGCAACATCCACATGTCCACAGCTTCCTTAAGGGTGCTGCAAACTTACGACCTCCTGTAATTCACCACTATCCCACCTGGGACCTCAACAAGGTGTTAACCGCACTTACAACTGGCCCGTACAACCGCTAGTCTTAAATTCCTGACATATAAGGTGGCCTTCCTAATTGCAGTCACATCAGCAAGGAGGATTTCCGAATTGGCGGCATTGTCAATGAGAAAGGACCTGAGCGTGTTTCATGTGGACAGAGTGGTTCTCCGATTGGATCCATTGTTCACTCCTAAAGTAAATTCAGCCTTCCACAGAGCGCAGGAGTTGGTGCTTCCAAATTTTTGTCCGAAACCATCTCATAGACTGGAGCATCAATGGCATCGACTTGACATTCGAAGGGCCTTAAGCATCTATCTAGACCGCACGGCGGCATTTCGAAAATCTGAGGCTCTATTCCTATCCTTCAACCCATCCACTTTAGGGAAAAAGGCATCGTTGACGACCATTGATAGATGGTTGAGAGCCAGCATAGCTAAAAGTTACGAATGCCAGTCCATCTCAGTTCCTAAGGGCATTGCAGCCCACTCAACAAGGAGTGCGGCAACATCAGCAGCATGGGCCACACAGGCTTCCACAGACGAAATTTGCAGAGCAGCAACTTGGGCTTCACCATCTCCCTTTGTCAGAAAATATAAAATTGATGTCTATGCCTCAGCGGACGCTTCATTTGGCAGAATAATCCTGCAGAGGGTCCACAGAGTTTAGGAGTGGATTTCAATCCGGATGGAGTTCCTCCCTAAGGACTGGCCAAGCTTTGGTATGTCCCACTTCTGGATGCTCTGAACAGCTCATGGGAGAAAGGGCGTTGGTACTTACCTGATATGCCCGTTCTCTGTGAGCTGTGAAGAGCATCCAGCCCCACCCATTTCTTTCCATCTGGTGGGGTTCCGTTCCAGTCAGGGATCTAGATTAGATGATGAGTCCCGGACTTTGGCACTCAGTCTTTACAAAACTGGGGGACGCTGAGGAGGTGTCCTGTGGAGGAGGAGGAGCATCCTGAAGTTTTAAGCCCAGCCTTTCCAGAAGAGACTGAAGCACCTCCCACTTCTGGATGCTCTTCACAACTCACAGAAAACGGGCGTATCAGGTAAGTACCAACGCCCTTTATATATTTTTTTTTCTAAAAGTCTACATATTTCATTACAATATTTTATTGTCTAACCATTGATAGAATAGATCCCAAATTTTATAAAATTGTTTATCATCTTGTTCTCTAATTTCAAATGTCAGTCTACTCATTTCAGCACATTCCAATATTTTCTTAATGATTTCCTCCTGTGATGGTATTTTCTCATTTTTCCAGTTTTTAGCAAATACAATCCTAGCCGCTGTTAATACATTTACAATCAGGTATTTCAAATCTTTACTATATATTTCAGGTAAAATTCCCAATAAAAATATTTCTGGTTTCAAATCTATATGCTTCTTTGTCATTTTTTCCAATCACATGTGGATTTTAGTCCAATATTTTTTAGCATCCGCACAAGTCCACCACATATGGTAATATGAGCCAGGTATCTGATGACATTTCCAACATTTTTCGGATTTATTCTTGAACATTCTTGCTATTCTTGTCGGGGGAAAGTGCCACCTGTAAAACATCTTATACAGATTTTCTTTATATGCTGTTGACATTGTCATTTTATAATTTTGAGACCACAATTTTTGCCATTTCTCAAGATCAATCCCATATCCAAAATTCTTCCCCCGAGCAATCATAGTTTCTTTAACTTGTTCTTCTTCTAGTTTAATTTCTAATAAATATCCATACAAATTTTTAATCACCTTTTCATCAGTACCTGTCAAAATCTTATCTAAGTCAGTCAGTTTATCATAGAAACATTCTGTTTTAGAATCTTTATCATACCTTGAATGTATTTGCGCATATGAAAACCAATTCATCTTTATATCTTGTTCCTCTAGTTTTTGTATAGATTTAAGTTCACCCTTTTCATTCAATATTTCACCATATATAACTGTTTGTTCCTTTTTGTATATTATAGGATAAGAAAATTCTTCAATAGTCGATAGCCGGACTGGAATTTTCAAATAACATTGTCTTTTAATCGTCTCCCAGCTTAACCACAGACACTCCGTATATAACGTCTTCTAAAGTACTCCTGTGTTTTAGTTCCTTTATACCATAAAAAAGCATGCCACCGCAACAACAGGTCATGTCCTTCTAATGTCAACAATCTAGTACTTCTTAATGTTATCCATTCCTTAACCCACATCAAATTTGCAGCTTGGTAATACAACTCCCAGTTAGGCAAACCAAATCCTCCTCTTATTCTAGCATAAATAAAATTGTGTTGAAATATATATGGCAAGGTAAAAAAGCGAGAATAAAGTTAAAACTCTTGCAAGATGCTAGAATCAGATGGTACATTCTGTTATCTCTCCTTTCTTGGGTACTTAGACTGTTCTACTTGAAACCAACCTGCTCTTTTTCTTACAGGTTACCTGGACAATGCCAGTACTTAGGGCTTCCAGTTGCTGATTACTTCAAACAGTGGATTAATCTCAAAAAGGTACTTTCATTGCTAATATGTTTCTCTTGCCCTCCCCCATCTCATTCTTTGTTGTCTCTTCATTTCCATCATTTCCCCTTCCTTCTATAGTATTCTCCTTCTCTTCCTTTAAGCAGGTATTTAATAAGCATTGCTGTTTTGCATTGAAATGAGGAGTTATTTTCTCAGAACCTGGGTGAAGCAAAGTTCCTATTGTATTTCAGCTAATAGAGTCTTACTGTACTTGATGGAATATGGTCTGCAGCTGGAAAATCTCATTGTGGCCATCCTGATATAGCATCTCTATGCATAATAACTTAGCATTTCCCTAGGATAGGCTGGGTCAATTGGAGCATATCTAAACCTTTCTTCCCTAGAATTTCTGACTCCCCTCCCTCCTCCCTGCCCCAAATATTAGCTAGCTATTTTTGTCCTTTAAAATACTTAAGACTTTTTGTTTTATTCACTTCAACAAAACTACCACTGAACCTATTTTCTTTTGTAGTTACATGTAATAATAGCTGCTGAGGCATGGATGCCTCCTTCATTTCTTGGTTCATACGTTATTGTTGGATTACTCAAATATCTTACATTTTTCTAAAACATTTCTCAAGCCTATATAGATTAATATGTGGCTCCACCCTGACTGAACCCAACTCTTTATATTATCCACTTAGGGAGTGAAAATTGATAGTGGAATCAAGAAACTATGTAACACATAGATCTGCAACAGCTCTTAACATTATTTTGTTTGAATTATGGTATAAACAAATAGCATAGGTTTGCATTTTAAATTCTATTCTCATTAAATAAAAGCTTGCTAGATGAAATTGCTGATAATACTGTTTCTCATTTTGTTACATAAACAAATCTAAGATGTATTCTGAGCAACTATACAAGGAAAATTAGCACAACCTGTTTTGTCAATTCGGAGTAATGAGGGATAAGCTGGCAGCATATGCCTTAGTTCGACAAGGATTTTCTTCCTTTCCTGCTGTCAGAGTGGATGTTCTAGCTTATTGCTGGCTTTCTGCACATATAAGATGAAAGTATGTTGGAGATTTTGTGCCACCCAGAAACCATTAAGAATTGCCACGTGAAGTTCACTAAAGTTCTGATGAATGTCTAGAAATGATATAACTAATCAATATTGATGGATATATCAAGAATAAAAGTAAAATATCCCTGTACAATAATATTTGATATGAGCTAAGTAAAACTCTTTGCTGTATTGTACTTTTTGTAACTTTTTCATTTGGGCTATTGATTTTTTGTTTTAAAAGTCTGCCTTTCATATAATCAATTCTTACATTTCAATGGAGGGAAATATTCTGCTAAGAAAAATAGCTTCATGTACAGAGCTTGGGTTATAATTCATATAGGTTGGGTGGATGCATCTTAGAATGGGGGCAGCACAAAATCTCAGGATAGAGAAATAGAGATCACAGTAGGGGAAATAACATTTGGGGTTAACATCAGTTGTAAATCATTTGCTTTGTTATCAGATATGGTGACTCATGCTGACTTAGTCAGAGGAATGTGAAGCGTATTTTCTGTGCTTAGTGTATAGGAAGAGTAGAATTTGACTTTGTGTCAAATTCTTTGTGTCAAATTCTTCCATTTTGTACTAACTTCATTGACTCTTCAATTTGAAAAATCTCCTTCTCATGGAAAAGCTCTGGCTTTTCTTCTAGCTTCTTGTGTGCTAGGCTTTCCCTTTGCTGACTTGCTTATGGTCCAAAGACAGCCACAATAAAATCTTTAGTTGCTATTTAGAGTCAAAATTCAGAAGACTTCAGATGGCTACGATTGAGAAGGACATCACGTGGTCTCTGGAAATGAAGTATATTTGTCAATGTTCAGTTTGATTGTGTTATATTAAATCTTGTCTATAATTTCTGTGTGTGAATATTGTTTTAGATTGAATGGGTTGATTTATCACTTCTATATTACTGGGGTATTTTTAAAAACAAATTTTCAAGGATGTATACAATATCTCTATATTGTTTTCACTTTCTCAAAGATGGACATTTTGAAAGACAATGGAGGATAAGGAGAGACTGGAGGAAAAAAACCATGATCATGGTGTGTGGGGAGAAAATGCATGGTACATAGTGAGTGGTAGTAAGGGAGAGGCCAATTGAGTGTATTGGCTAGCAAAGGTTAACATATCTTTCCTCTGCTGATATGGTGATTTTTCAGAATTACTAATGAATATCATTAAAAAAAACTTGATAGGATTACAGCTAGAAGTCTTATGGCGAGATATTGTTTGGTTTAGGGAGACTGGAAGAAAATATTTTAAAAATAACAGCAGTATTCATAATACGTCTAGAAGTGGAGAAAGAAGCTACTGTGTTTGGTTCAAAGCGTTTTGAAAATGGCTTTTTTTTGGAGACCTTTAATCATTTATAGATTTTATGCCCTGGTTCTGTATCTAGCATTGGTAAAATAACTTGGTGACTCAGAAAGGCTTGGTATTTGATTGGGAAGTACTATTCTTAGAAAAAGGTCAAGGCACCTGCATTTTCATTGTTTCCTATTCTTTACACTAGAACATAGAGGAAACTGATTCATTCCTTGTGGCCTTGCATGACTTCATGATGATGTGCTATTGTTGCATGAGAAACTGTCCGTTTTCCCACACATAGCAATCAGAGTCAATAGTCCATCTTGGGTTTGCAAGAAAGGAAAGACATTCCAGCATGCAGAGGTTAATAATAGGGCTATGCAAAGTACTCGGAGCAACACCTTGGCAAAAATGAAATTCTCCTCTTTGAAATGAGGAGACAGCTGCATCCGTTGGTAAACTGGGAATAGCTGCTTTGAAAGCTGTTCCATTCATCTCCACATGTATGCACATGTACATTGCTTTGCTAGCAGTTTCTACAGAATCTGGGCATATCCACCTTGAAGAGCCTTGAGCCACACCAAGCCTTTCAGGAATTGCTGCTGGCTTAATACTTTTAGTTTTCACTTGCATCAGTGCATTTCACAAAGCACCCACATGAATGCTTTGCCCAGTCATATTAATGGCAACTTGATACTTAGTGCAGTGACTGGATAAAATCCAAGATTTCAGGATAAACACAATCCTTGTTCATAGCTGTATATGTTGTCAGAAGTTTGATTTTTCTTTGTCCTCAAATGCTGCTTCTTGTCAAACCATATTGCATTCTTGCATTTTTAATGTCACTGAACAATCTTATATCTTTTGTGAGCCATCAGCTTAGTGAGGACTTGGGACAGAGAGTTTAACAGATTTTATGCCTTGTTTAGATCAAGCTTTAGCAATGCTTCCCAAAATATGGATGTTTTTAGAATGTTTCTGTGTATGTTTCCCTTAAACTCTGTCTATTGGCAGTGTTGAGATAGTTGCTGAAACTTTTTGACTGTGTCTTTATTTCTGCTATAGTCAAAGGCAGTATTTACCATTAACACAGATTCTGTGGACAGAATTAACTTTCATTCATACAGAGGAGCTATGTTGCTTTAATTGGAAAAGCCAAAAGGTCAATTGGATCAGAAGAGAAGTGCACTAGGAAAATAGGAAATGCTTGAAGACATTTAAGAGCAATAACAGAAACATGTGAATAAAGTACTGGTGTGAGGAAAAATGTAGGCAGGATAGCAAGGTATATGTAAAAATAGTAATATATGAGATATACCCATATAAGAACCTCCCTTGTAGTCTTCTTTTTTATGGGACTTCACAAAATTGCCTCTATCTAAATATCCATCTAAAATGATGCACTTAATAGAGCCAAAAATTATACTTTATCATCAAAATAGGAGCTACGGATTTATCTGACAAGAGAAACACTTTTGTTTGCAAATATCATGAGCATTGACGACTGCTGTATAGATGATTGGTAGTAGCAATTGCCATATAATAAAATGCAGTTTCTCAGGCCGTGTAATAAAACAGCTTTAATTATAGGAAGCAAAAAGGATGTTCTCATACAAACAAAACAGCCTTATTCATCACCAGTACTATCTCTCTCCATCCACTTAATATATTACTATATTATTCCCATGTACTCCCATCCCAAAGTGGTATATAAATAAAAATGAAAAAACAAACAAACAAATACAAGCCTAAAGTACATTAAACTAAAACAATATAAAAACATGTTCATTAAATGGAGAGGTAGAATGCAAAAATAAATAAATAAAATACACAGGCAAGACCTATTTATGTGAAGACAGATTTGTAAAGGCATACTGATAGGCATACTCTTGGATTTGGGTAAGAGTTTACTCCAAAGAGGAGATGCTACCACTGAGAAGATTTGTTAATAAAGGTCTGCGAGCTGTGGAACAATAACCAGGTGTGTAATGAGGAGCATGATCTCTCTGCTTTAAGATGCAAAACAGTTACTGTATTTTCCGGACTATAAGCTGTTACTTTTTTCTCACGCTTTGAACCCTGCGGCTTGTACAATGAGGCTTATCTATAGATTTTTCTTCGCTAACTGCCATCAGGGTGCGCAAAAACGTGACAGACGCAAGAGGTCAGAGCAAAGAAGACGCTACCGGTAGTTTTTGGCGTATTCGACGCAAGCAGCATGACACGCACGAACGCAAAATATTTTTCACACCCTCATCATGGAAAGTACACAAAGAAAAGCATATGATGCAGCTTTTAAGTTGAAAGCAATCGATCTGTCTATCCAGGAAGGAAATAGAGCTTCTGTAAGCTTGGCCTTAATGAATCAATGGTGAGACATTGGAGATGTCTGGCCGCATGCGAAGAGCATTTTTCTCTTTCTGTGTAAATATCTCATTTTCACAATGTATATATCTGCGGCTTATAGACTGGTGCGACTAATATATGTAAAAAAATATTTTCTTTTAAAATTTAGTGGGTGTGGCTTATATTCCGATGCTCTCTATAGTCCGGTAAATACAGTATTTCACAGTTTTAACATCTCCATGGTTAGGTGCTTCACTCAACAAACTGGTCTCTGCATTTTTCACCAATTGCACCTTTGAATCAAGGATATTCTCACATATGTGTA